GAGTAATGTTGATTGCCTTCACTATAGTATGGCTCCCTCAGTCCCACTCCTATTTAAAAGAAAATTTTCACAACTAGCAATAATGAGAAAGAATCAGTAATACATTAGGAGTAATGTTGATTGCCTTTACTATATTATGGCTCCCTCAGTTCCACTCCTATTTAAAAGAAAATATTCACAATTAGCAATAATGAGAAAGAATCAGTAATACAGCTCATCTTGTTTTTTAAAAATATTTTATTTCTTATTATTTTTTATTTTATGTGTATGTATGTATTGCCTGGATGTAGGTTAAGTGCACCAGTGTTGTGCAATGCCCGCGGAGGACAGAAGAGGCCATTGAATCCCCTGGAAGTGAAGCTTCAGACAGTTGTTAGCTGCCATGTGGGTGCTGGGAACTGAACCTGGGTCCTCTGCAAGAACAGCCAGTGTGCTTAACCACTGAGCCATTTCTCCAGCCCCTCATTTTTTATTTTTAAAGGTTTCTGTTTCAGGGCTGGGCATGGTGGCGCACGCCTTTAATCCCAGCACTCGGGAGGCAGAGGCAGGTGGATCTCTGAGTTCAAGGCCAACCTGGAAACATAGTGAGTTCCAGGACAGCTGGGGCTACAGGGAGACCCTGTCTCAAAAAGACCGAAAAAAAAAATTTTTTTTTAAAAAGAAGAGACATAAGAGCACCAGTCTTCATCTCTCTGCCTCCTGACAAGGAGCCACTGTGACCAGCAGCCACCTCACACTACCACAGCTATGTCTTCCCTCCCTTAATGAACAGTATCCTCCCAAACCATGAGCCAAAATAAGTCCTCCCTCAAGTTGCTTCTTATTGAGGATCTGGTCACAGAAAGGAGAAAAGTTCTGAAGTAGGATTTCAGCACAGAAGATTGGGAAGAATTCTCCTTCGGTTCTCTGAAATGCTACTTGTAGGATGCTTGGGAAAGGAATGAAGACTTTGTTGTCAAAACCACATGGACTTCAAGAACTGGGCCAGAAGCCTCAAGACAACATCTTGTCAAGAATGTTCTAACTCCCACAGAGAAGCAACTGGTAATACAGATTGTTCTAAAATCAACACAAAGAGGGGTCTTTACTATCCTTGTAACCACTGAGCAAGTCATTACATCTCCAGGAACCAGAATATTCTCATTTTAACATAATTTTTAAAAAATATTTTATTTATTTAAATTTTTTTTTTTTAATCTTTTTGAGACAGGGTCTCCCTGTAGCCCCAGCTGGCCTGGAACTCACTATGTAGACTGGGCTGGCCTTGAACTCACAGAGATCCACCTGGCTCTGCCTCCTGAGTGCTGGGATTAAAGGCCTGTGCCACCATGTATATAAGTGCACTGATGTTGTGCAATGCCAGTGGCGGTTAGAAGAGGGTGTCAGATTCTCTGGAACTTGTTGTTAGCCACCATGTAGGTGCTGAGAATAGAACCTAGATCCTTTGTAAGAACAGTCAGTGCTCTTAACTGCTTAACCCTCTCTCCAGTCCCTCTAATGTGATATTTTACAGAACATTTTTCACCTATTTCTAGAAGGCTGGAGTGGAAAGAAATGTATTTGAAGACTGGTGCAATTATAAATTGTATGGCATGCTGAAGTAAATTCAGCATTTCCTCCTGTCACAAACATATTCTTAGAAATAAACCAAACAGGGGCTGGAGAGATGGTTAAGAACTCGAATTCCAGCACCCACATGGCAGCTAACAATTGTCCATAACTCCAGTTCCAGGGGATCTGACAGCCTCTTCTGTCCTCCGTGGGCATTGTACAACATGGGTGCACTTTACCTACATGCAGGCAATACACACATACACATAAAAATAAAAAAATAAAAGTAAATAAACCATACAAGACTACAATATTAGCAAGGAAAATAACAAAAACAAGCAAAACAAAAAGGTCTAGTCTCAAAACAGGAAAGGATAAAAAAAAATGAAGGAGACTCAGAGATGACTCTGTAGGTAAAGGCGCTTGAGTTCAATCCTTGGAGCCCACATGATGAAAGAGTCAAATTCCACAAGTTGTCCTCTAACATCTACACACAAGCTGTAGCATGTACATGTACATGTGCATGTGCACAAAATAAATGTAAAAATTTTGGAGACAGGTCTCCCTGTCTCAAAAAGACCAAAAAATATATATAACATTATATACGTGTATCAATACATCATATGATACTCCATAAATATGTATAATTTTGTGTAGCTTAAAAAATTTAAAGATACTGTAGGAGAAAACAAAACAAAACTTAGAGAAAAAAATAGGTACTGTAGGGAAGGGAAAACACACTTTTTAAGAGTCTGTATTTGAGTTTAAGAGACTGATGAAAGGTTGAGGGGTTGAGGAGATTAATAAATATTTAAAAATTTAAAAAAAGAACATAGATTTTTGTTGTATTGGTTTCTTTTTTAAACTTCTTTTTTTTTATTGTGTGCACATATGTAAGTGCACCCGTGTCGTGTAATGCCCAGAGAGTTCAGAAGAGGGTATTGGAGTCCCCTGGATCTGGAGTTACAGATGGTCGTGAGCAATCATGTGAGTGCTGGGACTCGGGCCTGGGTCCCCTGCAAGAGCTGCCAGTGCTCTTAACTGCTGAACCATCCCTACAGCGCCCCTCTTTTTTAGTTTTTTGATGTATGGTTTTTGTTTTGTGTTTCACGACAGGGTTTCTCTATAGCGACAGCTGGCCTGGAACTCACTATGTGCACCAAGCTGGCCTCTCACCGAGATCTGCCTGCTTCTGCCTTTGCCTCCAGGGTACTGGGATTAAAGGTGTACACTACCAGGCTCAGTTTTTTAAAACTTAAAAAAAATTATTACCACATGTAGAAATACTGGCACATGCATGTTGTCAAATGTATGCAGAGATCAAAGGACAACCTTGAAAGTCAGTTCTTCCCTTCTATCATCTTTATGTGTAGGTCCAGGGATTAAACTCAGGTTGTCAGGCTTGCATGGCAAACAATTTATCTACTAAACCATCTTGCTAGCCCCCTCCCCTTTTTTTTTTGGCGTTTTTGAGACAAGGTCTTGCTATAGCCCCAGCTGGCCTGGTACTCACTATGTAGACCAAACTAGCTTTGAACTCGCAGAAATCCACTGCCTCTGCCTCCAAGTGCTGGGATCAAAGGTATGCGCTACCACATCTGGCTGCTGGCCCTTGTTTTATTGGTTTATTGAAACAGGATCTCCCATAGCCCCGGTTTTTCTTTACATTAATTACTTCTAAAGTCCCAATTTTTCTAAGGAAGAAATTTAACAAGACACTGTAATTCTCCTTTAATCCTAATATTTGGGAGGCAGAGGAAGGTGGATCTCTTTGAGACTGAGGTCAGCCTAGTCTACACAGTGATTACCAGGCAGGCTGGGGTTACAGGGAGACCCTGTCTCAAAAAGACAACCCCTGCCCCCCCAAAAACAAACTTTGATTCATTTTTAACTGGAAAAATCAGAAACAGCACTAGGAACTAAGAAAACAAAAAATGCTAAAGACTAAGGGTTTGCTGGAGTTTTTTGTTTTGATCTGAGACAGGGTCTTATGTAGCCCAGGCTGGCCTTGAACTCACTGGGTAGCTTAGAATGGCCTTTAACTTTATGATCCTCCTGTCTCCACCTCCCAAATGCTAGGATTATAGGTGTGTGTTCATTTTTATGTAGTGGCAGGGCTCAAACCCAGGACTTTATGCATGCTAGGCAAGCACTCTACCAAATGAGCTACATCCCCAGCCAACAAGCAGTAATATTAAAAAGCCAATCACAGCTGGGCATGACGGTGCACACCTATAATCCCAGCACTTGAGACATGGAGGTAGGAGGATCAGGAGTTCAAGGTCATCTTTGGCTACATACTATGTTCCAAGCCAGTCTAGAGTATATGAGGCCCTGTTTTCAATTAGGGAAAAAAAATGTCATAAATGTATTCAATGTTATCAAGCACAACGTAAACCATCTAAAAAATACTTCAGGGCCAGGTGGAAGGCTTGGTGGGTATAAGTGCTTGCAGTGCAATTCTGGCACTCTGAGTTTTGATCCCTGGAACTGACGTAAAAACTGGGCACTAGCCTGGAGTGCACATCACAGTGGCAAACAAGAGACTCTGCTACAAACAAGTTAGGTGAGGACGGACACCTGAGATTATCCTCTGACTTCAACATGTGCATCATGCAGGCACAGGTTCTCCCACAGGAACACAAATACATACTGTACACACACACAAAAAAAATAAATAAAATACTTACCTGTCACTCTTCATTTCCTCTTCCCATAAAATATATTCTGAAACCCTTTTCGCCAGGTGTGATGGTACACGCCTTTAATCCCAGCACTTGGGAGGCAGAGGCAGGTGGATCTTTGTGAGTTCAAGGCCAGCTTGGTCTACAGAGTGAGTTCCAGGACAGCTAGGGCTACAGGGAGACAGTCTCAAAAAAAAAAAACCAAACAAACAAAAAACCTTTTCATTATATGGAAATTTAGATGTAAGTATTCTCAAACCTTCAGAGAAATGTAAAAGTAATGCAATTCAAAATTATCAAGATCTATCATATGGAATTACCCAATAAGCCAAAAACATTCATCGCCATGAAAAAAACAGTGAGTTGTGACTTAAAACTTAAGTGGTATTTACTCATTAATTCAACAACTATGGTTTTTTTTAAAAAAAGATCAGCTGAGAGCTGGCCTGGTGGCACACGCCTTTAATCCCAGCACTTGGGAGTCAGAGGAAAGCATCTCCATGAGTTCCAGGCCAACCTGGTCAACAGAGAGTTCCAGGCCAACCTGGTTGACAGAGAGTTCCAGGCCAGCTGGAGCTACAAGGGAGATTCTGTTTCAAAAAAACCAACCAACCAAACAAACAAACAAAAAATCAGCTGAATTAGCTGAACATTGTAGCTCACATCAGTAATCCCAGCACTCTCAGAGGCTGAGGCAGGAAGACTACTTCAAGTTTGAGGCTAGTCTAGGCTATACAGTGAATTCTAGACCAGACTCTGCCAAAAATTCACAAGTCCTCTAAGAGGAAAACTGGTGCCCTTCTCAGGGACATAGTAACTTGGAAGAAAACCTGGCATGCCTAAGGTCTTTGAGAATAAGGGATGCACATTTCCTTTGCCTTACTTGGGCTGCCTACATATAAATTCAGTCTGGATAGATTGGGTCCTCACCAACAGGCTGTTTGTCATCTTTCTTGACACAGGCCAGAGGCAATGATGTGTAGCACCTTTCTTTAGTCATCAATAATGACCTTCCAACCAAAGAAAATTATATCCACAGAATTAGGCACGGTGGTCACCAAGGTGTAGCTATTAACATGGTCACAGAAGATGACAAGAAAGCTCTTTGAGACACTGAGACTTTCTATAACACCTCCACTGAAGAGATATGCCTCAGTGTTGCTGACCTCTTTTGAAGGGCTGTCGTGCTACCTGGCCCTAGCCAGGGTTCAATCCTGGGTGGTTGAGGAACTATGGAGGGGGGAGGTAAAAGAGCCATGGGATGGATATCTGTTCTCTTTTTTCCCCCCTTTCTCTTTGAATAAATGTCACTTTTTGAAGCAAAAAGAAGGAATCTTGGAGAAAAATACAGAAACAAAAAAAAATTTATTTTTTCATATGTATTTCATCATAATGGGAAAAAATTAATCTTAAGAAAATGATCACTGGGTATGCTGGCTCATATCTACATAGCTGAGGCAGGAGGATTGCTATGGGTCAAGGTCAGCCTGGCCTACATGAAGACTATATCTCAGAAAGAAAGAAAAGAGAAAAGGAGGGACAAAAGGAGGGGGAAGGGAGTGGAATATGGATGGTCAAAGGAGGAGGGGAAAGAGGTGGGAATGAGGGAAGAGCCTGCTGGAATTTTATTAAAAATAAAACTATTCATGCTTATCTTTAGAAATTTCAACTATAAATCAAGTTTCAATTTTTAATTCCTTCTAGATCCTTTTTAAATATCAAAATGGGGGCCAGGGAGATGGCTGAGCAGTTAAGAGCAGGTATCACTCTTGGAAAGGACCTGAATGTGGTTCCCAGCACTGAATTTGGTCCAGCAGCTTACAACTGCCTGTAACTCAAGCTCCCTGTGGATCTGATACCTCTGGCCTCCAAGAACACCTGTCCATACACATACTGAGACACACACATACACATAATCAAAAATAGCAATAAATCTTCAAATATATATATTTTTTAAATCTGTATGGCCAAATAAAAAAAAAAATTTGAGACAGGGTCTCACTATGCAGCCCTGGCTAGCCTAAACTCAGTATGTAGACTAGTCTGGCCTCAAACTCACAGAGAGATCCATGTGCCTCTGCCTCTTGAGTGCTGGGATTAAAAGAGTGCATCACCACATTCAGCCTAAATTTTTTTTTAAATGTGTCTTGAGTGTATTGCCTGCATGTATGTGAGTGCACTGTGCCATGTAATGCCGAGGAGGTCAGAAGAGGGCTTTGGTGTCCCCTGGAACTGGAGTTAAGGAAGGTTCGTAGCCGCCATGTGGATGCTGGGGATTGAACCTGGGTCCTCTGCAAGAGCAGTCAGTGCTCTTAACTGCTAAGCCAGCTCGCGAGCCCCTCAGCCTAAATGCTTTTTTTAAAGCTATCTTCTTGTTAGGCCTGGTGGTACAGAGACTGGTAATCTAATACTTGGAAGATGGAGGCAGGAGGATCAGAGCGTTTAAGGACAGTCTAACTACATGACATTGTCTCAAAATTAATTAAAGCTATCTTCATGGCTTTAAATGTTATTCAATATTCTGAATGTACCTAAATTCTTACTTACATGATGACACTCATTATTCATGTAGGATTAGTACCTTCATAAACCACATATTTACTATACAACATGCTTTAACCGCAGGGTGTGGTGGCGCATACCTGCAGTCCCAGCACTTGGGAGGCAGAGGCAGGCGAATCTCTGTGAGTTCAAGGCCAGCCTGGTCTACATAGTGAGTTCCAGGACAGCTGGGACTACAGGGAGACCCTGCTTCAAAAACATAAAAACAAAACAAAACAAAAAAAACCCAACACGCTTTAACCTTGTTTGTGCCCAAAAAACGTTTGCTGATATCAACTATTTGTATTCTTTATAATAAAAATGTCCAAACAAGTTGCTTTTATTTTGTTCAGTCTCAATAATCGAAGCACAATTCAATGCCATCCTCTTCACAAACCCCACTTTTCCTGTTTCTTCTTCTATTTATAAAATGCATCACAATTCTGCCTAGAAGCAATTATTTGGACTATGTATCTCCTTAACTATTTCCCAACCTCCTTAGGATTCTGAGACTTTCTGCATCCAAGTAACACTACACAACTAAGTACCTAATGGTACCTTCAACATAATAGGTGCTCAAATAATGCTAATGGAACTGGAAATAAACACAGCCAACACATTACTATTGTAAATTATTTATTATACTGAAAAAGATATCTAACATATAAAGGCTGAAAAGGAAATGATAACACTGGCACTTGTACCACGCAGGAAATTCTTACAACTCACGATCACAAAATTTTCAGTGCAACTCTGAGAAATGGATCTTTTGGACATCAATATGAACAATACCTAACTCACCTAATACTGGAAAAATATAAATAGGGATTATTCTTATCCATCTCCTTTTCTAAGTTCTCCTGCATAAGTAATAGGAAAATTGAACTTAATGAACCACACTATTCCAAACCAGGTCACAGGAGCGTTAAGTCCCCAGTCATCCTGTTTCTATTTCCTTACTGGTCTGACCTGCAAGCATTACGGTGCCCAGCTTTCCCAATTTAAGATCTCCTTTAAATGATCTACTGAGAAGGACTTTTCTTAAAACAAGACTTCCAGAACATTCATTCTAGCGCAATTATGAAAAACGAACCCTACCTTGTTTTTAAAAAAAAAGTCTTCCCAAACACTTTGCTCAAGCAAATAAACCCAGTTTCCAGAAGTCTCGTTACAACATACTAAGTGCAGAACGAACATAAATCTGCACAACTGGAAACCAATTCTTTCCAGAGCACTACTTTCCCAGAAAAAGTAGACTTAAACTAATACACCTTTCAAAGCAGGAGTTTTACAAACAACACAGTCAAGTGCAACCTACGCTGCACAGGGTTTCCTAAACACCACTCTGGTACCGCAGCGACAACCAGACGCCTCTGGGGCTTTGGCCCCGGCTCCGACTCCAAACCCCGGGCGTCCCCGGGCCTCCGGGAGTCGAGTTCGCCCTGGGTTCGCGGCCAGCCCAGCCACTTCCTCGTCGCGGTGACCCACGCGCCGCCGCCTCCTCCGCGGACTAACGGGGCTCCACTCACCACACGCACGCACACCGGGCAGCTCGCGGGAGGGGAGGGAAGAGCATAATCCCGGCCGGCCCGGTACCCACCTGCAGGCCGCGAGCCCTGGGACTCCGGCGCCGCCCCGTCCTCGCCGAAGACGAGTTTGAAGTCGAGCTCGTCGTGGGCGCCACAGTTTGCAGTAGTCATCGGCGTGGCCCGGGGTGCTGCGGCTCCTCCTCAGGCGGCCGCGGCAGCTCCTCAGCGCCGCTTCATGCTGGGCCGCGCCGGCCAGGAGGTTGCGGCTCCCCAGCAAACTTTCCAGGCCGGGCCCGCGAACCCTGGCGCTCGGTTCCGAGCTAGAAAGCTGGCCGAGCGCCCCGCCGCTCCAGGAGCCGCCACCGCCAGCAGTCTAAAGCGCCCAAGAAGCCGCGGTCGCCCCAGCCAAAGTTCCCCGCCCCCCCCTCGGCCAGGCTCCGCCGCCGCGCCACCACCACCGCCGGCGCGCTCCCGCGCCTTGCCGCGCACCCAGCCCCGCCCCCCACCGCGCGCCCATCGGGCGGGGCTGCCCATAGACCGCTGGCTCGTCTGACAGCCCCCCCACCCACAGACGCTGGCCTATCGCGCGACTCTTCTGAGAGGAAGTCGTGTAACCAAGAGCCCCGCTACCTCTCGGGAGTTGTAGTTGAACCCCTCTTCCTTCCGCTTCTAAGCCCAGACGCTCGTAGAGCCAATAGTGTCGTCTGATTATATTGGGGGCCACCACAGGCCAATTGGAAAAGAGTCCTTCTCCCACTGGGCGGAGCTCACGTCGAGGAAGGGTTACTCGAGCACTGGGGTTATGGGCATCTTGGTATTTGTCCCCATCGGTATACCTATTTCTTAGGTCAGGGTTTAGAGAGCATGCATCAGGACATCTCGAGAGTATCAACACACACTCACCCAAGCATCCCTCCATCCCAATCTCAGTGGCAGAATCTCGACTGGGCCGGGGACTGGATCGAGCCTCTCGATAGGCTGGGGTAGAGCTGAAGGAAACCGGGATTGCGAGAAAAGTCCGGAGTTGGAACTCGCGGTCGCTACAGCTCCACCCCTGAGGGGCGGGGCCCAGCCTCCGTCGCTGCGCCTTTGTCCCTAATAGCTGGCAGACAGCTGCTCCCTGGATGATGGCATGCACTTTCTAGTCCTCTAAGTCAGAGAATCCGGGTCTGGGTCCTACTGGAATTTGAGCAGACACCGAGGGGAGGCCCCTTCTGACTCCTGCATCCCAGTGCACAACCATAAAATCAGGAGGTGGTGTGCCACCCAAACCGAGAGCAGCCAACCGGGTACTGAGTGACACTGTCAGAAGAACTGTGTTCACTCTTGGCCTCACCCCAACGGGCCTGCCTTCCCCAGAGACGGTCCAAGACGCCATCCCTTGGAGTCTAGGGACTCAAACTTGTTTACTTAGTGCTCTACTGAGATGCATAATTAAGACTGGGAGTTGAGAAAAGCTCCAGTGACCACCTCCCCCAGCTCCATGCTGGAGCAGAGCCCACAGGACATAACAGTCCTAGGTGAGTGCTGCTAGAGGCACCCAGGTGCTGTTTGAGGCTTGGATGCAAGTGAGAGGCCTCAGAAATGCCACTTCATGGAGTGTACAACACATCCCACACTACTGACAAGAGCCCCTGGGAGAATGGGGCAAAGAAGAGCTCCTTGCAAAGATCTTAGTGTCTCTGTAATTCCTGAGCTATGAGGGTGCTCTAGGGTGAACCCAACTAAGCCTACAGTCAGAAGAACAGGGAATGTTCTGAGAATGTGAGACATTCATCTTGAACCTGTTCATCTTGGGGGAGGGGCTTTTTGAGACAGGGTATCCCTGTAGCCCCCGCTGTCCTGGAAATCACTATGTAGACCAGGCTGGCCTTGAACTCACAGAGATCCGCCTGCCTCTGCCTCCCAAGTGCTGAGGTTAAAGGTGTGCGCCACCATGCCTGGCAAACCTGTTCATTCTTATTCAGGGCTTTATGCCAGTACTTATGCTGGACCTGAGCATACAGACAGAGTCTCCCTTCAGTGCTGGGAGAGAAGAACAGCAAATCTGTAATTACTGTGCAAAGAGATTAGAACTGTGGAAGGAGCTCCAGGAAGCTCAACTCCTACCCTGGCTACAGGGCCTCTACAGGATTAATAGGAATTGGAGAGCCAGGCAAGAGGTGAGGACAGTTTGTTCCAGGGAGGGAACAGATTTCCAAAGACATGGAGACCAGAAAGTACCTGCAAACAGGGCAGAAGCAAAAGTGAGTCTGGATGGGTGGGCAGATTACAGTAGGTTACTGTGTGATACCTGGACTTCATTCTGAGGACATAACAAAGGTTTAAAGCAGGGGACTTGGTCAATTCTAAATGGAACACTGAACTAATAGTCAAGGACGAAAAAGCAGTCTGCTATGATGGCACACTCCTGTAATCCCAACACTTGCAAGGTGCAGGCCAAGTATCAGGAGTTCAAGATCATCCTGTTACATAATGAATTTGAGGATAGCTTGGACTACATGAGACCCTGTCTCAAAAAAAAAAAAAAAAGAAAGAAAGAAAAAATGGAGGGGGAACTGATGTATTAAGTGGGTAAAAAATATTTTACAGTAACTGTCTTGCCTTTGGAGGGTCTCTAACCTAGAAAGCCTAAGTATGAAACTTGGAGACCAAATGCCACATTAGCTGTGCAGCCCTCTACTTGAGACAGGCTGCTAGATCAGCTACTAGTAGCAGATCAGTATACTATAAGCCTCCCAAAATCAGCCAGCTTACCTCCCCATTCCCATAAAACAATTTCAAGTTGTGTTCCCTGCCCCATCCCTAGATACATACATCACAAGCTGTAATTTAGATTGAGAAAGTGGACATTTATCCAGTCCCCCAGCCCTCTAGATATGACTTTACCTGAACCAGGGGCTCAACCAGTCAGGCTACAAGGGACCACAGAGAAACTATAGATGTTTTGAAAAATTCACACATTTGTTTATTCATTCATTTATTTGGATTTTTTGAGACAGGGTCTCACTATATAGCCCTGCCTGGTCTGGAACTTGTAGACCAGGCCTGCCTCTGCCTCCCAAGTGCTGAATCAAAGGGGTGCACAACTACACCCAGCCTTCCACCCATTTACTAAATGTTCAGCAATGCATCTTTTCTTCCATACACTAAGTACCTGAGAATACCTAGAAAGCGGTCATGTTGTAGGGAAGGCTTCTGGGGGTAAACTGAGAATCTAAAATGGAGTGATGAAGGCTGGGCAGAGGTAAGTACCAACTGCAGGAAATGAATCACCATCTGAATCCCCGCACTTGGGAGGTAGAGGTAGGAGGATCAGAAGTGCAAGGTCATCCTCAGCTACACAAGAAAGTCTGAGGTCAGCCTGGGCTACATGTGACCCTTTGTCCAGAGGTGGGGGGAGGAGGGAGGAGGAAGAGGAGGAGCAGAGAAAAAAAAGGCAGCAATGGCTGTGGTGCTGAAGGCTCTAAAGGGGCCTACTGGATTACACATAATTACTCCCTTCCTCCAATACACATATTCTGTCAACTAGTTCCCCAGCTAGGGCTAACACTTTCCCTCAAGAGCTCTTCTGGCCAGTTCCAAAACTCTTGCTCATCATCTAACCCATCTGCAGATCTCTCAGTGAGCTTTGTAAAATGAAGCTCAGGGGACCAGTGCAGTAGACAGAACCTCAGGATAGACAGAGACTGTGGGAGTCTCTGTATGCCCCCTCTTAAAAAAAATTTTTTTTTTTTTTAGTTTTATATGTATGAGCATGTGTCTCTGGGTGGGTATGTGCATGTCAGTGCAGTGTCCATGGAGGCCAGAGACATCAGATCCCCATGGAGGTGGAGTTACAAGTGGTTGTGAGCCCCCTAACATGGGTGCTAGGAACCAAACTCCAGTCCTTTGGAAGAGCAGTACAAGCTCTTAACTGCTAAGGCATCTCTTCAGCCTCTCTGTATACCTTTTTTCTTCTTGTGTGAATTATGGCCCAGGCCTGAGACTCAGAGAGAGCCTTTTCTTTTATCTGTTGCCTGACCTTGAGACACTACTCCTAAAGGCTCTCCTATGCCTCAGAGCCTTGGGATGATACAGCTTAGCCCAGCTGAGCCCAGCTCCTTGTTCCACGCCTCAGGAAAACAGAAATCTTGGACTTTAGAAAATAATTATTCTCCATGCCATACATCCCCTCATCCCCTTCATTTTAGTTTGCTGTACCTGCTTTTTATCCCAATACCACTGCTGGCCATAGAGGATACAAGGACTGCCCTTGAGCAGTTCCCAATTTGGATAGATAGGGTGAGACCAGCCAACTACAACCTCAGAAAGTTAGTTGCTGAAGTCAGCACAGAGTGCCAAGAACCCAGGCCAGCACTTTGTCCTCTCCTGCTGGGCTAAGGGTTTGGACTTGGTCCAGAGGGCAGTCTCAGCACAGTCCTAAAAGGAGCAGCACCTGGGAGGACCTATGCCTGTGGGATTCCCCCTCAACTTTGCCCAAATCAAACTTCTTTCTGTAGTTTTGAAATCCCTACCAACCTCTCCAACTTTATTCATCCTCTCTCCTCTCATGGTCATATCAAAATCATTTATTTTAGGCAGGGTGTGGTGGCACACATTTGTAATCACAGCACTTGTAAAGGAGGCAGAAGCAGGAGGAGCCTCACAAGTTTAAGGCCTACCTGGTCTACATAGCAACAGGTTTGACTGGGCCTCTCAGTCAGTACCAGACCTTAGGCAGGTCACTGAATCCAGAATAGACACCACCCAAGTGTGCTAAAGTAGAGATCATTTGAGAGCCAACACATTCAACCAGGATCTTTGTCAATCACCCCCCACCACTGGACACACACTAACCAGACCCTCTGCAGCTGGCAATGAGCCTCTCCCCAGGGTCGTCAGAGCTCTCCCATCCCCCAATGGAGCCTGAAACTTAGCAGCACTCAACCCTTGCCTCTGCTTCCTGTGGCCCAGAGATGAATCTGACCCTTTAAGGGAAGGGGCTTTCCCAAGAAAACCACACTGGTAGAAGAGACCATAGATCAGGATCACTGAGACTACAGATCTCAGCATCTGATGCTTGGTCCCCAGAATCTTCTCCCAGCATGCTTGGGGGGAAGGGGTCCTCTTGGGCCTTGGTCTGTACCTTCCAGTCAAGATATAAGGAAAAGTGAAGAGGGCATTTTAAGGCAGGTTTTATTTTATTTTATTTTATTTTATTTTGGTCTTTTTGAGACAGGGCCTCTTGGTAGCCCCAGCTGGCCTGGAACTCAATAGACTAGGATGGCCTTGATCTCATAGAGATCCACCTGCCTCTGCCTCCCAAGTGCTGGGCCTAAAGGCATGTACCACCATGCCTGGCTTTAGGGCAGTTTTTAGTAAAAACAAACAAATCCAGAAATAAACTTTCTAAACCTTGATGGCTATGACCAGAACAAGAGTATCTTCCTCCTCAGTGGGCCGTACTCTGAGAGCAGGAGACTGGGAAGTTAAGGCAGCCTCACCATGGAGTAACACCATTAGCCACACAGTACCCCACCACAGGGTGAGCCTGTTCTCCTCTAGCCAGCCTCACACAGGCAGAGGACAGCTGATCTTCCTATGAGGCAGAGGGCTACAAGTGAGCTACCCAAGGTCAAAAGGCAAGGGGTTCTGAGAGGCATCTAGGAATGTAGTATCCTTTTTTTTTTTTTTGTCTTTTTGAGACAGGGTTCCCTGTAGCTCTAGCTGGCCTTGAACTCATAGAGATCCACCTACCTCTGCTTCCCAAGTGCTAGGACTACAGCACCATCACGCCTGGCTGGAGTGTGGTATCTTTATATGAACAGAGAAAAGCAAGTGTGGGCAGCAGGGAGGGGTAGCAGTGGAATAAGGCAAAGCCTCACCCACCAGACCTTTGATTCAGAGTCAGGCAAAGCCAGGGGCTGCTGGCTGGCACAGGGAATTGACCCCTGGACCAGCTTGCCACACAGCCATGAGGCTGGCCCAAGGGAGATATGGGAAAGACAGGCTTGACCTAGAGGGGAATCCTCCTCACCCCATATAGCCTGGCAAGGGGGAGGTCATGTGTGACCTCCTGTTTACAGCAGAGGAAGTGGAGGGAGGGCAGGGCAGGGACCTTTGGTCAGGCCACCCCTCCCAGTAGGGGAGCAGGGAGGCCCCAAGAAATGTGGTAGCCTGTTGTTTGCTTCTTACTGCCAGGAGGAAATTAAAAGAGAATCTGTCACTTCCTTCCACCACCACAAGTGAGATTGGGGTGGGGAGAGTGTGACAGTGTGATCTGTGAATAGTGAATTTGGCAATAACCAAATTGCTGTTATCAATAGCCTCCAGGTGTCCCCTGCCCTGATCTCCAATCAGCATAAAGGAGATTCTGGGACCCTTACCCCCATTCTGCTAGGCTGGTCCTTTACAGGGACCAGGGACTAGTTTTTTCCTGCGAGTCCATAGAACCTCTCATCAGGAAAGTTGACTGATACCTAACACCTCAGGTTTCCCATCAGGAAAATGGGTTTCTTGGTCCTTTCCTGCTTCCACCAATATTCAGTGAACCTGAAATGTAATAACTCATCCTCTGCATGCAGGGAACATGCTTTGGGAAGCTCCAGCTCTGCACAGAGGATGGGAGTAGAATAATTATGCCAGGACGTAAGTCCAAGGCTGAACCAGTCAGCCTTGAATGAAGGTCAGGGTGTCTTTATTGCACTGTACCAATGTCAAATTAGGTGTGTAGCCTGAAAATCTTGTTTTCAAAGAAAATGTTCAGGCTCCTAGGAACTTGGCTCTGCCACTCAGACCTTTGAGGAGAGATAGTATTATCCCTGGAACTCCTTGGCCCATGTTCCAGGCTGATGGCCTGGGCCAGAACTTCTAACTCCTGCATGGCAAGAGCCAGAAAATTGTCCAATGGCATCTGGTTTAGGCTCTAGTACCCACAGCCACCTTCATGTCAGGTTCATGCACTGAGGACCAGGGCAGGGACAGTAGTCACCAGCCTTCCAGGAGGCTCTCTTCACCACTTCCCAAGGCCACAAATGGTTTCTTGCATATCTCCCCAGGTAGTGCTGGCTCCTGAGCTCTGGGGCCCCCAGGGTCTTGGTCAGGGGTCTCTCGCTTGCGCTTGTTCAAGGAAGGGCTCTCCTCACCTAGCCGACCCTCAGGGAGGCCCTGGCTCCGCAGACAGACAATGGCTGCAGTCTGCTCCGCCAGTTTCTTGGACTTGTCCCTGGGTAAATGAGGCAAAGATCAGTAAGGCAAGTAGGCAGATCACAGGACTAGAGACTGGAAGGCCTGATTCTACACATGCTTAGAAGAGATTCTAATGAAAACTGGAAAAGGGGTCATCACCCAGTACCCTCATACACCATCCACCCAAGTCTCCTAGGCCAAAATTGGCCTTGGATCCCCAATCCCCCAGCCCCATACCATCTGATGAAAAACTTACCACAAAGTGGACTGGTATTTTTGTTCCGCAACAGTGACAACAGAGCAGAACATGCGATCTACAGGTCGTTGAACCTGGTGTAGAAAAACAAAAGGAAACAGGGCAGATTGCCCACCTGCCTCATCACATCAAAACACATAAATGAAAGGGAAGTGCTTCCAACCCAAGTCAAACAAAGGCTGCCTGATCATCTGCTCCTCCTATACGAAAGCGTCTGGTGCATCTTTCAAGATAGAAATGCAATTATGCAAATTGACAATGATATCAAGTGTGTCAGAGTTCTGTCATTGCCCTAAGCAAAGGGCCATACCTGCACATGGCTATGAGGCCTTCACCTACAGACATCTATATAGGCTAGTTCCCAGCAAAAAGAAGTTCACCAGATGACAAAGGACAAGAGTTGGGGCAAAAAAGGTATATCCCACAGAGGGGTTGGGATGTGGCTGAAATAGTTTAATTGGTGAGACTTGAAACTGCAAGGTATTTGGGGGTCTTGTGCTCTTTGATGAGGGGTTGGGGTTTAATCTTACAGGCTTTGGGGAGCTGGAAACTTGGACAAAAGAGACAGAAATTAGATTTATTTTCCAAAATTCACTCTGGCAGAAGAGAATACAAGGCCCAGAAAGTATAAGTCTGGAGGCCAGAAGGCCAGTAAGAAAGAGACAGAGCAGCCTAGACAAGGTACAGCCATAGGACCAAAGGAAGTGAAGCAGGACTACCTTAAGGTTTCTACCCCAGGTGCCCTATGTGTGGGTGAAATTCTGTGTTCCATTGGCTGGGGTCCAATTCAAAGATGTGTCTGCCAGAACTGGACAACAGACCAAGGTCACAGGTAAGGGGCTATCAACAACTGACTCTGCTACTAACGACTGGTTCACACCTACAGAAAGCAAGTCCAGATATTAGCCAAGCAGCCTGGGGCTCAGGGTATAAGCTGTGAGTGTGCTGGGGTGATGGCACCAGTGGGAGGACTGACTACTTTGGCTGGATGCAGGACAGGCAACAGAGGAACTCACCGTTTCATACACAGGCTGTGCCAACCTCTCTCTCCGACACCATTCCAACAGGCACATCTTGGGGGTAATTTGGGGAGGGTATGCTCTCCTGGGGAAAGGAGGGGAAGAAGTTAAGGTTCATTTACCATTTCTACTCCACCAGTAAGGGCCACCAGTAAGGCATTGACAGGCATTATAGGAACTGGAGAAACTCAGATATCAGGCTGTTTCCCAAAGACTCTTGTGCCTACTCCCATTGGCTCCCTTCCTATCCTACCAGCAGTTGGGGCCTACATTCACCTAAAGGGAAAATGGGTTTCTGCATGCTTGGAAAATGGGGAGTGCATGTGTGAAAACTCAGAGCTCGCCAAGCTCTAGCCTGTAAAACAGGCTTCAACAGCTAGGAAGGAAGACTCACTTTGCCTTTCAAGACAAGATCAGAGAAAATAGATGGAAGCCAAAATGTAGGTGGCCATAGAGTGGACTCAAAGATCTAGCATAGTGCCCACTCGGATTTCATCTGCTGAGTGTCAGGATCATCTGCTCTGCTATAGATACAATGAACTCTGGTTTGAGAGCCAGTCTGTGACAGGGTGAAAGGGACATATTCCAACTTCCACTGGGAGCTCTCTCTGGCATATGACTGTCTAACAGCTGTCCTCCCACCCCCACCTCAAGCCCTTGCCAGGCAAGACTGGCTCCTGATCTGGGTATGGAGACTAGAGACAGGCTCAGATCCAGATGGCAGAGGACAAGGATAAGGGCACCATTCAAAGCTAAGTCACAGTGTGAGGCAAGAATCAGACTGAGGCCACTTCTGCCGAGAGAGGGCACCACTGGCCTGGTGTGGAGCAGTGGGTATAGGCAGGGGTGAGCCAAATGAAGGCAAGATTCCTACAGCCACTGGGGAGCTCCAAAGGAAAAGCACAAACTTTGAGGAACACAAAACCAGTCTCCCTGTCCCAAATTGTGGGAGTGATCAGGAAAAAAAGAGTTCAATTCAGTTAGTGTTAGGACAACATGCACAACCCCATCAGTGCTGCCTGGGCTTTCAGAAACTATCTTCCCTTAAAGTACCTTCTTTTGGGGAGTCAGGCACAGTAACACATGTGCTGTATTTCCAGCACTCAGGAGGTAGGAGCAGGAGGATCAGGACTTCAAGGTCATCCTCAGCTACATAGCCAGTTCAAGACCAGTTTGGGCTACATGAGACCCTATCTCAAAAAAAAGTACCTTCTTTGGAATTCTGAAACCTGAGAACAGATGTTCAAACTCAGGAAACTTGTGGTCCCTAGGCTTGATATTAATCACATTCATAATTACCAATAAATCCTCAAGGGAACAGGCCCTGCCATACATCAAAAACCTACCTGTCAAACTTGATAGCCATCTTAATGATGCCAGAGGTGTCTTCAGCTGGCTCCTCAACCTCCTCTGGAGTCTTGGCCAAGAAGTCAGCTCGCCGGGCATCCAGTTCCCTCATGGTCTCCTCATAGAAGGCACCAAGGCCAAAGGCTTCACTGTGGACGAAGAAGTAGAGTAGGGTAGGAACCTTAGTGGAACAGCATCCACTACAGGATAGCCATGACCATACCACCAAGAAACTCCTGCACCAAATACATCAAAACTCCACTGGCGCCTAGCTAGCAGAAGGTACTTCCTACCTACCCTAGCATCTGCCTAAACTGGAAACTGGAGATGAATTTAAACCCTCTAGTATGGATACTAGAGGGAGGCTGGAATGGGAAGAAAGGGTTCCAGAGGATCAACACACAAATGGCTGTGCCCAGACAGCCAATCATGACAAAGTTGACCTACGCTGATCAAATACCTGGGGTATACTTAGTGTCATCCTCATGTGGGCCCATGGGAAGAAGAGACAGAGGTCTGACAACTGACTGAATCCTCACTGCCCATAGTTACAACAGACCTAGGTTGAATGGAAGTACCACTCAGAGCTGCAGAGTTACATTCTCTTCTGGAATTCACAAGACACTGATGTCTAGTTGCTTAACCTATGTGGGAGAGGATCACACCCAGCATCACAAGACAAAGGTGGCAGAAGGCCTCTGGCAGAGCTTTCCCTTCTAGAAAGAACCTTGTGCAAGGATCCTCCAGGGAAAACATGATTCAGAAAGCCTCCTTAGAGGGTAGAGGGTACAGACAGCCAATGTGAGGAATAAAGACCTTTTTGTCAGAGGACCCAAGTAGGAGCACAAATTTGGAGGTAGGGAAATAGACTAGTAAACAGGAAGCTGACATAGCTGGGACTAAGCTAAGCTGTGAAGGATCTTCAGGTGTTAACCACCTGAGTTGAAAGTGCACCAGATCTAGCTGGGCATGGTGGTACATGCCTTTAGTCCCAGTACTCAGGAGGCAGAGGCAGGCAGATCTCTAAGAATTCGAGGCCCGCCTGGTCTATATAGTGAGTTCAAGGCCCGTTGGGGATACAGGGAGACCCTGTCTCAAAAAAAACAACAAAAAAAGAGAAAGTGCACCAAATCTTCTACAGCTCTGTCTCTCCTGATTCTGTCTTTCCCCTTCTTCCTCAGGAATCCTTGGGACTATCCTTTGCTTCCTCTACTCTACCAGTGCCCTAATTCCCAAAACTCTTCTTCTGAGATCAGTGTTTCAAAGCTTTGAAGTACATACTTCTGCCGGGTTTGGTGGTGCACACCTTTAATCCTGGCACTTGGTAGATCTCTGGGAGTTCAAGGCCAGCCTGGTCTACAGATTGAGTTCCAGGCCAGCTGCAGCTACAGGGAGACCCTGTCTCCAAAAGAGCAAAAAGGAAAAAAAAGAAAAGTACCCACTTCTATAAAGCAAAGCTATATTACCACCCCACTCCTACACATCCACACCTAGAAGCTGTGTCCATGGTCCCTCAGCAAAGTAAGCTAGGCAACATCTGCAAGAACAGAGGGCTAGACCATTGCCCCTCTTACCAGATTTCCCGGGAAGACTGGGCAGCATGGAGCAACCTTCCCTGGGGTGACTCCAACTGTTCCCGTAGCATCTGGCACAAGCAATACTTGGTGTTGGTATAGTGGTTGTCATACTGTACTGCCTGGGTGGAAAATAACATAAACCTACCTGTTAACAGCGAACACTGAGACCTGAGCTAGGCTCTGATGCAATGGAAAGGAGTTCACGCCACCCTTGCTTATACCCAAGTGTATGTGACCCCCGTATAAGAGCTACCTCCACCCTGCCACATATTCTTCCATGTAATAAAAAATGTGGTGTCCATGATCAACAGTTTACTCACCTGGACAGCCTGCCTGAGGGCCAGAAGTACATAGAACCAACCCATGCTTCAGCCACAGACTATCATACAAAACCCAATGCTAAGCATCTTCTAGGGGAGAGAGAGATAACATTTCAGGGCAAATCTAACTTGAGGACAGGGGTAAGATTCTTCTATTCCTTACAAACAGGATGAGCACCTTCCAAGCTTCCCATATCTTAACTAGCCTCTCTCCAACTTTCCCCACAAGTGGGCACAGCGCCATCTACCAAGCGTGTTCACACACATTACCTATCATTTCTTGTATCTATACAAAGAGAGGTACAGCTGTTTCCTGACTCTACAGTCTGAGAAGTGAGGGCCAGGGAGGCAAGATGACTACATAGGAATACTATGGATGCCCACCCACCTAGGGTATGGCAGAGAGTACCAGTAGGTGAAAGCTTCTCACACAGAATCTCCTCCAAGCCCTCACCCCCTATACCACTGTAGAATCTCCTCTGGGCCTGTCTTTAGTGCCTGAGAAGGTGTGTTGGCATGTTTAGGACAAGATATGGAATAAGTGGGTAAGCCCTGACCAGAGGCAGAACTATGATTCAGCTTATTTGGCCCAGAAAGTACCTGACTAGACCAGAAGCAGTGCTGTTGATGCTTGAGGCCACTCTCTTTCTCTGTGACAACACATCCTCTTTGAAAGCTGCCAAGGGATGCTGAGCAGGAGTGATAACATCACCTTTTACCCAGTAAGCAGGCTCAGCACTGCTGAATATGTCTTCTCTGCCACACATTTGCCAGGTGACCAGAAGAGCTGGGCAGCTGACCTGACCTGAGGTAAAGCCCCATGTCTGTAGCTGACTTAGAGTGCTGAAGAGCTGACAGTCACCAATCTGACCAACAGGACACCCAGAGGATGAGGACTGCAGCACTAGAGAAGGGAGGCTATAGGATAGACACTGCCCACAACTGGATACAGGCCTCATGCTACCATTCCAGCTTAACAGTCATGAAAAATACCCAAATGCCTTGGCTTAGAGAGGGCACAGACAGCCTCAGGCAGGACTAAAAGGAAAGTGGAAGATGTTCTAGGCAAGACTGCACCTTCTCAGGTCCAACTGCTTGAAGAATTTGAAGTCCATTCATTGTTTCAGCCCCTGTACATGCACAACCCATTACAGAATCCCAGTGTCCCAGGGTTGTACCAATGAAAAACAGGTAGGTGAAATCATCAAAAAATTCCTTTGGCACAACTATTAAACTCCTAGTAAGAAGAAACTGGTTTTAAAAAAGCTATTCTAAAGCTGGGAATGGTGGCACATACCTGTAATCTCAACACTTGAGAGACAGAGGCAGGAGACAGGAATTTGAGACCAGCCTCAGCTATGAGCCCTGTCTCAAAAATAAAAAGAAAAAAAAGAGTGTGTGAAGACTTACATATTTGATGTACTTCTGCATGACTTCCTCCAGGGGCCGCAGACCATCCTTGAGGAAGATGGAAGGGTTCCACATGGCTGCTCGAGCCACCATCACTGAAGAGGCAGCTGTGGCTTGTCGAAAGTCCTCTATGTCCAAATGTTGCTGGATGTGATCATGAGATCCTCCACTAAACAACAACAGGAAGGTTAGAAATACCCCATAATGGAACCTACCAGCATTTCCAGAAAAAGATGACTGCCAGGTCTGTCACTCATTATTAGTTCAAATTTAGCCAAGTCAGCTATCAGAGCTTTAGTAAAGTGATTATAATGCATATCCCATTCTTTTTAAAAAATATATTTTATAGCCAGGCGTGGTGGTGCATGCCTTTAATCCCAGCACTTGGGAGGCAGAGGCAGGTGGATCTCTGTGAGTTCAAGGCCAGCCTGATCTACATAGTGAGTTCCAGGACAGCTGGGGCTACAGGGAGACCCTGCCTCAAAAAAAAAACAAAAAAACAAAAAAAAAACCAACTTATTATTTTTATTTTTTTATGTATATGAATGTACTGTCTACATATGTATAAGTGCACCCATGTTGTACAATGCCTACAGAGGTAGGAAGAGGACATTGGATCCCCTGGAACTGGAGTTGCAGCCAGTGCTCTTAACTTTCCAGCCCTGCACACCCCATTCTTAAGTGAGAAGCACTAAGTAATATATGTAAAGTAGTCTGAACTATGCCTGTCATTTAAGACATATTTTAGACGTTCTACTTTTCTTATTATCCAAAGTGGTGTCCAAAGGTAGCTAACATTTGAAGATGTGGGCCTAAAACTGAAGTGTTAGCCAGGCACGGTGATACATACCTATAATCCTAGAACCCAGGAGGTTAAGGCAAGAGGATCATGAGTTCAAGGCCAGACTGGGCTACACAGCCAGTTTCAGATCACCATGGTCTGACTCTAAAATTTCTTTTTAAAATTTATTTATTTTGGGCTGGAGAGATGGCTCAGCGGTTAAGAACACTGACTGTTCTTACAGAAGACCCGGGTTCAAATTCCAGCATCCACACGGCAGCTAACTGTCCGTAACTCCAGTTCCAGGGGATCTGACAGCCTCTTCTGTCCTCTGCTGGTATTGCACGGCATGGGTGCACTTATTTACATGCAGGCATAACACTCATACACATAAAAATAAAAATAATAAAATATTTTTTAAAAAATAAAAAATAAAATTATTTTTACTTTATGTGTATGTTTTGCCTGCATGTATGTAAGTGTACCACATGCAAGCAATGCCTGCAGAGGCCAGAAGAAGGCATTAAATCCCCTGAAACTAGAGTTACATACAGTTGTTAGCCTCCATGTGGGTGCTGGGAACTAAACCCAGGACTTCTGCAAGAGCAACTGTGCTCTTAACCTGTCCCATAAGAATTTAAATATTAAAAAAGAAAAGAAAAGGAAACCCTGTGGTATTGGAACCATAAGAAAATCCCCAAGCTTGACAGCCACTCATATACCCTGTAAGGACTGGGTCAAAACCCTAGAGAGAAGGACATACTTGGCTGTGATCATGGGGAGAAATTAGGGTAGTCAGTTTGGTCATAATTCCCCTCCCTCCATCCTGGTAGTTCAAGAACCCTCTCTGAAACTGCTCTGTCCTTATTGATTTCACCCAAAGTCCAGAGACATCTATGCTGAGGAGGACCCCAAGGTGACAGTAGAAGCAACAGGCTCCAAAGTCTTGAGTCAGTCCTGCAAACCACCTCTAAAATTTCTCGCTAGAGGATACAACCACCCTCACCTCTAACCAGTCAGGGGTAACTTTCCTCAGAGTTTCCCTGTTCCCAATCTCCCATACTCCATGAGGCTTGGTACTGTACTAAGAAGCAAGGCTAAGCTGGACTCCTAGGTGACCAACACAGACAACTAGAAGTGGTCTTACTCTAAAGTCTTCAGAGTGCTCATCAGAACCTCACACTTGTCAAATCAAGTTCCTGTAGTTGCCCAGAATGCTTGTCTGGATTTCTTTGACCTGCCTTATGTTCCTTGAGCCATGCTGCTATGAGATCTGGCTTGGGACTCCTTACATAGCCCTTGTACCTTACATACCTAACTCGAGGTGTGACATCTCCTTGCCCTAGGTCTGCTTCTGCAACCTTTCACTCTGTCCCTATTCTCACCCATAGTCTAGCCCACCCATTAGAGTGCCGAGCCCTGGCCCTAGAGACCTATGTCAGCCTCTCAGAAACCAAACAGATTTATATGACAGGCAACTGTCAGCCTCATTCCTAACTTTTTTTCCCCTTTGCCTTTATGGCCAGTTTTTTGAGGATTTTTTTCTTTCTTTCTTTCTTTCTTTCTTTCTTCCTTCCTTCCTTCCTTCCTTCCTTCCTTCCTTCCTTCCTTCCTTCCTTCCTTCCTTCCTTCCTTTCCTTTTTTGCCATTTATTTATTTAGTGAGAGGCACATGCCATGATGTGCATGGAGTTCAGAAAACAACTTACAGGATTTGGTTCTCTCTCTCCACCATGTGGGTTCCAGGTATCAAACTCAGGGTGTCAGGCTTGGTGGCAAGCACACTTACCTGCTGAACCAACTCACCAGGCCTGTGGTCAGTTTTTAAATGTTCTGCCAGTCCATTTTTTTTACTGCTAGCACAAGTCTTTTCTGAATGGGGTAGAGCATAAAAAAGTGAGGAAGAGGAGAGGCTTACTTGGCTATGACAGGAATGGAGAGGGTTTTAGCAATAGCTCTGATGACTTCACAGCTGACAGGGTGCTGAGGCCGTTCTTCCCGCTTCCTTAAAGATAAAGAGATGAGGACCAAAGGCCATGTCATTGCTCAAATCCTACTGTCTGATCTACTTGAGATCTACTGAACCTCAAGCAGATCAGACAGCGATGTAGTAGTTATCCAGAACAGTTTGCAGAGAATGGCCTCCCTGACCTCTGGGTAAGAACTCTGTCCTGAGGGGCAGGAGCAGCACAGGTCCCTGCTGAGAAGGCTAAGTCCAGTTCTCCGGAGCCTGCAGACGTGGCATAGCTACAGAGGACCAACATGGGTATTCTGGCTCCCAAGGTCACACTACTTCCCCCACAGCTCTGCCAGAAATAAAGAGTCGGTGCCACAAAAATGCTGTCCCAACAGTCTCAGCCCTGTCCTTCCCGAGGGACTTAGAACAGCTGCCATGATCAGACTGGCCACTCCCACACAGCTGCCTATGCTGAGACCAAGTTGCACAGCTGATCTTGGGGAGAAGCACCTGACACAGGGTAGGCCCCGTGCCCAGGGCAGCCAGGGCAGACCACAGACCATGGCTGTCACGACAAGACACAAGGGAAGCAGGACACAATCCAGGGCCCCCTCCTACCAAGGTCAACTGCAAGTTCTTGTACATGAGTAAGCAAATCTTAGCAATGCTGCAGCAATGCCTGGCCCAAGCTATGTGCAAAGACAAACAGAAACAGTTGACCAGTTCTTGCTTGAGTGTGGTCCCTGTGCTACACATTCTTTGACTCTTCAGAAGGACCTACCCAGCTTTCACCTCTACATCACTCAGCAGCCAATTTTACACCAGAGTCAACAGCTCTATTTGCTGAATTTCTGATGGTCAGAAAGTCCTTCCTTAAACTCACCCAAATCTGTCTTCTTACGGCCTACAACTTCTAGTAAAAGTAAGTTTCCATAATTAAGACAATAATGTTTGCAAAGTTTTATATTCATAATCTCATAAAAAGTTTCATAGTAACTATGAAGCAGAAATTATATTAATTGCCAAATAAGGAATGTGGTAATCAGAGAGGCTAAGTGATTTCCTCAAGGATATACAACTAGCAAACTGGGGTTTAAACAAAGCTGTTGAGTCCAAACCCTGCTACCTCAACAAGAAACTTATGTGTATATGTGTGCATCTGTCACTTCTCCCCTCCTCTTAGCTTCAACCCAAGCAGTTCTGCTTTTCTGTTTTATATGTCATCATTCAGGGTATAACCAAAAATTCTGTAATAGACACAACCAGCAACCTGGGCTGTTCCTACAGAATCCCTAAGCTGCAAAAGAAAAAAAAAAAAAAGAGGGCTGGGTGTGGTAGCACATGCCTGTAGTTCCAGCACTTGGTAGACAGAGGCAGGCAAATCTTTATGAGTTCGAGGCCAGCCTGGTCTACATAGTGAGTTCCAGGACAGCTAGGGCTACAGGGAGACCTGGTCTCAAAAAGACCAAAAAAAAAAAAAAAGAATGTCAAAAATGTCAGAGAAGAGAGGCCACTAGCCAAAGTCTACTAACCAGGATTGTGTAAAAAAGACATGTTAGTAACAGGGAACAGATCTGACAAGGAGACAGAGAGCTGCCTACAGAAACAGCCCAGCTCAGGCAGGCCCTGGTGCCTCATGCTTACAATCCTAGCACTTAGTAAACTGAGACAAGGGGTCTCATGAGTTCAAAGTCAGCTTGGGCTACACCATAAGATTTAGACCAGTCAGAGATATAGTGAGACCCTATTAAAAAAAATAAAAAATAGCCGGGCGTGGTGGCGCATGCCTGTAGTCCCAGCATTTGGGAGGCAGTGGCAGGCGGATCTCTGTGAGTTCAAGGCCAGCCTGGTCTACATAGTGAGTTCCAGGACAGCTGGGGCTTACAGGGAGACCCTGCTTCAAAAAGACCAAAGAAATAAAATAAAATAAAAGGCCTAAGGAGCCAGAGGCTCCTCCCAAGCCCATGTGACCCCTGAGGACCAGATCCTCAACCAACCTTAAAGTAAAAGTAATCTGGTTTATTTGGGCCAAGTGTATGGTCTCAAACACCCAAAAGGGAAGAAAGATCTTAAGGGAAGGGGGGATAGTAGAATACAGGTTATAATGAAGAAGAAAAGGGAAATAAAGCAAAGACCTCAGCTTCCAATAGAGAACACATGAGCTACAGATACAAGAACTGTTTAAAGAAGTCATTGGGATAACTGGCAGTCCAATAGGGGCAGGCAACAGAAATAGCACCTTTAAAACAACAGCCATCTGCTTGGGTCATTCAAGGGAGAAGCTATTGCTCAATGAAGTAGAAAGAAAATGAAATTCAGTGGGTGTGGTGGTTTATGCCTGAAATCCCAGCACTTGGGAGGCTTAGGCAGAAGGAATAACAGTTCAGGTCAGACTAGTCTACACAGTGAAACCCTGTATTAAAAAATAGAAGCTGTCTGTGGTGGCGCATGTCTATAATTCCAATACTTAGAAGGTAGAGGCAAGAAGATCAGGACTTCAAGGACAGCCTCAGCTATGTATTGTTTGAGGCTAACATGGGCTATATGAGACTCGATCAAGAAAATAGATTGGAGGGCTGGAGAGATGGCTCAGAGGTTAAGAGAACTGGCTGCTCTTGCAGAGGACTCGGGTTTGATTCCCAGCACCCACATGGCAGCTAACAACCATCCATAACTCCAGTTCCAGGGGAATCTGATGCCCTCTTCTGACCTCTGCAGGATTGCATGACGGGTGCACTTACATACATGCAGGGAATATACTCATACACATAAAATAATAAAAAATAAATAAATTAAGCCGGGCATGGTGATACACACCTTTAATCCCAGCACTTGGGAGGCAGAGGCAGGTGGATCTCTGTGAGTTCAAGGCCAGGCTGGTCCACATAGTTCCAGGACAGCTGAGGCTGCAGGGAGACCCTGTCTCAAAAAGACAAAAATAAA